GAGCCCAGGAGTTGGAGGTTGCTGTGAGCTGTAATGCCATAGCACTCTACCCAGGGGGACAGCTTGAGGCTCTGTCTCAAAAAAAAAAAACAAAACGCTGAATGAATATGGAAATTTAATTACAGTTAAAACTCTACTTTTAAGTGAATGTGTGTCTGTATGGTCCTGGGCAGTGTCATTTCGTGCACGTGATCCCACTTCTGTCTGCTTCCAGGAACTGCGGAAGCCCAGCTACGCAGAGATTTGTCAGAGGACAAGTAAAGAGCCTCCTTCTTCCCCATTGCAACCCCCAAGAGAACAGAAGCCCAACACTGTCAGCTGCGGGAAGGAGGACAAGCAGCTGGTAGAGCCCACGGAGAGACAAAGAGAGACCCCTGCCCTCAAGTCCACGCCTGCAGCCCCCAGAGACCAGAGGCGGCAGCCGGGGCGCCGGCCCTCGCCCCCAGCCCTCGGGAAGCGCCTTAGCAGGGAACAGAGCACTCCTCCCAAGTCCCCCCAGTGAGAGCCGACTGCGCGGAACACTTCCACTCAGCGCGTGAGTGAGTTGCTGGTTAGGAGCTTGCAGTGTTTGAGGCCTTGGGGATCCTGCAAGTTATTTTTCTTCTGTGAGTTGGATTTTCCCCCTCTTGAGAAAAAAAATCTATTTTTCAGGATTTAATTAATATAAACCTTATTTTAGGTTGGTGCTTAACTAGAGGTGATGCATAAGTCAGATTTTTTTTTCCAGGATAGAAAATGCATTTATCCTAACAAATTGGTATTCTTTAAGCCTCCATGTGGCTCTGAATGCAAGCTGTATGTAGTGAGTTTTTCTAAATTAAGGGAGCTATGCTATGTTTTTCAGTGACTGGGCTGCAAGTGCACATCTCTCAGCAGCCCGGCAGGTGGGTGAGGGGCTGCCCCGGCAGAGGAGGCACAGCCTCCTGGAGGAGGGGCTGCAGGGCATGGGCTGTGCCTGCGTCCAGGCCGCCGGGTGCTCTGGCACTGAGAGTGCAGAGACCCCTTCCGATGTGGTGGGCAAGACGCAGCTGCAGAGAGCACGGGGGCACCTGAGACCTTGAGCTTCGATGTGCTGCAAGCAAGTAACCAGCTTCTCACTCCAGTTTCAAGTGGCTATTATGTAAAATAAATTCAAAGCACATTGTGAATAGAACCTAAATGAAAATATAAACTTTATTGCCCACTGACATGTTACAGAAGTTGTACCACGATGTTGTTCTGATCCTATGAGTTCCTGCGGCGACACCTGCTCCGTGCACATTTCTGTCTCTGTCCCCAGCACTGGGTGGAGAGTTCACAGCCTGCCAGCTCCCCGTGGACAGCTCCCCGTGCTCTGCATCGGCACATGGTTCACGTCACGTGACCCTGAGTATTGTTGGTGGCTTCCCCTCTTTGGCTGGTGGAGGACAAAACCCAGCTCTTTACCTTCAGGATGAGGGTCTCGGTGATTCACTTCTAGAAGTGCTGCACTTCTGAAGAAAAGGATGCACTAGGGTTAGCAAGTTTGTAATAAAGTTAAATATAAATTATTTTGTTTTAAAATGCCTAAAATCCTTCTTTAAGTATTCTAAGCAGCAAACATTAAAATAAGAATATTTCCTGCTAAATGTAACCATACAGTTTATTCCACAAGATGTTATTTAACAAGACTGAGGGTTTTTTTTTTTTTTTTAAAGAAAAAAAAATATTTCCATCCAATATTTAAAGACTTGAATTTTATTTAAACTTGAAAATGACTTTGCCTTAACTTTGTATGAGACAGCTTCGAGTTGGTGGAGCCTGTCCGGGCTGTCGGCCAGCTGCTCGGCGTGTGGGTCTGCGGCCAGCCTCCTGGTGAGCGCTCTGTGGTGCAGGAACGAGCAGTCGTCTTTGTAACATACCTTAGAGAGTTCACACAGTTGATCTTTTTTCAGATTGTTGAAAAATCCTGTAAATGAATGAGTCGATACTGTATTAAATATGTGCACTCGGGAGTGTGCTCCGCTTGTACAGTTGTAAATAATCAGAACATATTAAAAAGGTACCTACAGAGAAAAATCTGATAAAAATTATTGATATATTATAAATGTTGCTGTTGCGCTGGATGTAGATAAACTAAATGTTGTGGTTTGAATATTATTTTAATTTGTTGAGATTATTTTTCTTTTTCTCTGATACTGGTGTGTGGAACTGATGCTGCCTCTTTGCTGCCAAAGGGAAATGGAAAGTCTCATTAAAGCCTCACGTGTCTTGTGCTCCTTCAAGGGTGCAAGTACAGACCCCTTATAATGCATGTGAAAGGTTTTAAAGTATGACACAGAAAGCAAAAATTGGCAGGATCTTCAGCTAAAGGTAGAAAATAATCATATCCGTTGCCACTATTTAAACATACAGAAATACACACAGTGCTGATGTTTTTTAGATACCCGTTAAAGGAGGGAATTTATATCTTTGTAGTTGTCAGATCACTGACCAAAAAATCAGAATAATTGACCTCTGAAGCCCAAACTCACAGATGCTGTAAGAGCTGGGAAGGCGCCTCAGGCCTAGGCCCTCATGGGGTGTCTTCGCTGGGGGCCTGGGCACCACCTCCTTCCCAAATCAGGGTGCCTCCCACCTGCCAAGCAAGTCCCTGGCTTTTAATAATGAGAAACCCTTTCCCCCAGGTCTGAGCGTCGCAGCACAGGGAGTGAGCTGAGGGCTGTTAGCGTCTAGGCCATAGAGTAGCTCCTGCCCAGCCAGTGGCAGCCTAAGAGCTGAGCGTCAGAGCTGCAGCCCTACTCTGTGTGATTTTTATAGCATTCTTTTTAATTAAGCAAAGGCGACATGCCAAATAGCTATATGATGTCAAAAAAAAACTTTCTGGTATTTGAGATTCTCCCCTTAGAAGACAAGAGGAGTTACTGCGCAGGAAGTGTGGTATGCCAGCAGACTGCTGCCTCCTGCAGTGGTGACAGTGGCTTTCACACATTTTTGTAAAAGTTAACTCTTTCTTGTCCCCCAGCAATGACGAATGACATCGTAACTTGTAAAATCGTGTGATGGTCTTTGCCCTGTGGAGCTAGTACAGTGAGAACCAGGCCCTGCTCCTCCAAGCATGTATCCCAGGAGGAAGAGCCACACGTTCCTGCCTTCCTCAGACTCCTGTCGCCATGTCACTGGTCATCACTGGCGGGGATGGGACGTGTCTTCTCTGCTGTGTGGTCAGGGTCCTACAGTTTGTGAAAAGCCGGCTCTGCACGTCCAGGAAACAGATCTCGGGTTGTGCCTGCCGGGTGCCCCTCGGCAGGCTGTGGTCACTGTGCTAGCACCGGGGTGCAGGGGCACCAGCCTGGAGACTGACCACGTGCCGGCCACCAGGTCACAAGTGGAGTGTGATGTGGACGTGTCCCAAGGGTTTTTGTTTCTGTTTTCATTGAGACTGGAATCAAGCTTACGTGTAACTATTGGTAATTTAAGTTTCCTTTTGTGTCATTCAGTGTAAAAATGTCTAATTTGAAAAAAATGTAGGTTATGAAAAATAAAGATTTAGGCACTGTTCAATTTTTCTTTTGATTTTTTTTAATTTAAAATGTTCAAGAATACATCTTTTTAAAAAGTTTTCTGTGTGTTCTCATCAGTGTGCGTGAGGAGGAGACACCATGCTGGTTCCCAGTGGGGCTGCTTAACCCACTGCCAGTCGGTGTGGCTGGAGGCCAATGGTGAGGTGCTCAGACATGGAAATCAAAGTTCATGAGGAGACAATCACTAAATCCAACATGTACCGCAAAGATAAATATCCTTATCCTGGGACTTTTTATTTCTTTTATTAAGATGGCAGCATTTGTCTCCAGAAAGTTACTTGGAGTTTACGGGTCATTTCGGTCTCAGCAGCGGCTTCTGGCCTAGTAAGTGTGTGATGATCCTGTGGTGCTGGGTGGCCAGACGGTGTAGTGAGGTGCTGGTTTCCTTGTCTGTGAAATGCCTTTTTTAATCTTTTCCCCATTTTCCCACTGGCTATCTTGTTCTTACTGGATTGATGTTCTTTATCTGTTCTGGCTATTAATCCTTTGTTACATATGTTATAAATATTTTTTCTCAATCTACCAGTTGTCTTAACATTATTTAGAATAATATTTTATAGTTTTTTATTATGTAGCAATTTATCGATCTTCTATGGTTTGAGCATCTTAGACGTGCTTAAGAAGCCGCTCCCTAATCCCAAGTCATAAAGATAATATTTTGTATCATACACGTGTGTGTGTCTTTACTCCAGCTGGCATTGTCTGTGGCGCGTGCACGCGTGTTCTGAGGGAAGAACCGACGGTCACCTTTTGCTGTATCACTAATGAGTCTGTTGTCTCAAAGCTGATTGGTAATGCCACTTGTTACTGTTAGAGTCCCCCCACCATGGTCTCTGGACTGTCTGCACTGCACCGCCTCTATTTCTTTGTACTGCCACCCACACCTCTTACTCGCCAGCTTTCTGCATTACCAAGCATCTCCTTCGTGGAATTCATCACAACTGCAGTCGTTAATCGCCTAATGAAGTATTTACTGAGCATGTGTGTATTCCCTGTGCCTGGCACTGGCCTTGGGAATTTGGAGCAAATAGGGTGAGATACTGCCTTGCCATTGTACATAACACTCCCCCCCCGCCCCCCCTGCCCAGGCTTGCACGCCTGATCCTGCATCTGTGGTGCGCTGCTGGCAGCCAGGGCATGGGCCTGAGTGCTTAATCTTCACCCACAAAAGTCTAAAGCTGTTGCAGTCTGTTCCTTGCTATATTTCCATCTTCTGGTGATGTTAAATCTTGTTTCTCCAAACCAGTGGATAAAACTGACAGTTGGAGAAGTGCTGTCGGCAGGTCGCTGTGGGTGCTGGGCCTGGTGGGCACCTGTGTTTCTAGGCCAGGACGGCTGCTGATTCGCTCAGACTAAGGTGCGTGGCTGTTTCCTTGACTATGCTGTATCACTGCCTGGAGAGGCAGGTGAGGATATAGGAGACCAGGCAAGGATGGACATGGCCAGGGTGCAGGTGGGCCAGCCAGCGCCGTCCCCTCCTGGGTGCTCAGAGGACGCCAACCTTCGGGATGCTGACCGTGCCGTGGACAGTCTGGGCTCATCATGGGTGTGTGCTGAGGCCTGGGGGGCAGAAGTCACATGTTACCCACAGTGGTGCTAGAGCTGACGGTGAGGGAGCACCTGCTGTGGAGCATGAGTGAGGTATAGCTCCAGAGCAATTTCTCCTAAACATGGGCCCAGACACATCTCTGCCCAACAGCTACCTGGTGTGGCCAGAGCCACTGTCTACTTTTCGAACACCAGCATGTGTGTGAGAGAGATGCGTGTAGTCGTTCACATCCCGGGCGTGGAAGACTCTCTGCAACATTACTTTGTGCTGCGCAAACACTTGGGTTATTTATAAGGAAGATGGTGGCTCTGGCAGAGTGCTGTTAAAGTTGGCTCTCTGGCTCCATCCTAGGCCTGCTGAGCCCTGCCGTATGCTCTGGGCTCACAGGCAATTGCGATTGGGCAGGTTTGGGATGTGGGATTTTGTGCAGTGACTTGGGACTGACCCAGGAGCTAACTTGTCGCTCCTCTGCGGCCCTGGGCATGTCCTGCTCTGAGGAATGAAGCTGTAAAGTACCAGGGAGTGGAGGTGGGCAGAAGACAGGCTGCAGCTGTGGCTTGTGGGGACCTCGAGTGAGAGCTGTCACCCTGGGAGCCCCTG